GCCATCACCGACCATGTCATGAACGGATTTGACACGTAAAAATAAAGAAAAATTATATTTACAATCAGAATGATACCGTTGAAATTTCTGTGACGCATGTGGAAGAAGGGATTGGAGAATTTAACACGCACAGAACATATAATCAGAGCAAATGGAAACAGTGAGTAACATACATCAAGAGTGTGCGTAAATGTATAATAGAATAGAGACCTGGAGTGATGTTAATGGAATAAAGTGGCTTAGAAATACAAAGGACAGGAATGTGTCGAGGACCATTCACATACTGAAGATACCTGGATGCATGAAAGAGCTGACGCCAAATAGAGTATGTCCTCTTTGACAATATGCATCATGTTTACTTACAAGCTAATCTAGACCCTACTCCAGGTGCCGCCTCTCCGGTGGGTAGTAGTTTCTATTCAGGTCCGCCATATTTACTGGCTGCTCATACAGGTTAAAATTGGCAATCTTCGTTGTGAATTCGAAAGGTTAGAATGGTTGTTTTCCTGCCATGAGACCGGGGTTCGAATCTCACCATGAAACTGACATCAGTTTTGGTAGATGACGGAAAACACTATCACAGATAGATCTAAAACCTTTGAGAGTAAAATTGGGAAGATGATATTTGTTTTAGCAGAAACGCACAAATCAGCGTTGATCAAGTATCTGAGTCTCAGTTGTGTTCTACATTTCATAGCCAAACAAGGATTGGGTTGTCGAAAATACAACTAAGGAAGCAAGCACTCTAGGGTATAGAATAATATGCCTACCATTCATTTTGACCTTTAGATCAACACAAAACCATCTTATTTTTGTATGATGCATAGGATTATTAACCTGATTGATATGTCAATTTTTTTCTATTTCCTATAGATGTTGACAATGTTTATCTTTCATTAAATCTCTTTTTTTCAATGGAAAAGAAAGCAAAATGTCTTCCCGACAGGCATTTTTAAACATCTAGTCTAAAAGTAGAGAATCTCTAATGTTTTAGTACTTGTATAACTTTGCCAGAACTCCAAAGTAATGATCATTTTAATTTAATCAAAACTCCGACATCTTAGATGAGTAACTCTGGATAGTTTTATTTTATTTTATTTTATTTTTTGTATCCTTTTGAAATGTTTAATAGACAGACAGGTTTGACCTAACAATTTTTCTTCAAATTTGATTTATAACTAGTAGATTTGGGGTTCCCTGTAACGCAATATTCAAATTAACACTGTCTTTTGATATATTTGCCTGATTTTTGTCTCTGATTCCCGATTTTCGAATAACATTACCCCACAAAATTCTCGATATGGTTTTAAGTAATAATCGAAATGTAAAAAAAGGTGCCAATATACCGAAAGACCTCACTAAATCCATTTTGTTAACATTACATAAGAAGCCAAGGGCAAACGAACGCGAATCCCACGAGAGAATCAATTTAGTGAGTCACAATCAATTTAATGTGCCACATAACTAAATTAATAATGCGAAACTGATGAATAGAACTAGAAGCAGAATTAGACCGGAAATAGGACAAAAGTCTTGCCTTGTCAGGAATAATGGAAGAAGAAATTTGATATTCATGATCAGAATGATATCAGAAAGAGCATTGGTATCTGTAATGATGGCAACTATTTACTCCTGTCTCGATATTAAATCTGATCAGTTCGATACGATCAAATTGGTAGATGATCTCAAAAGTCTGTTGATAACTGGCGCAAAAAAATGGTTCGTTATTTTTAACGCCTCCAAACCGAAACTGCTCTCTCTTAATTGTCTGAGAGACCCCTTTCTGCCTTCCACCAAGCATGGCTGATGCTAACCTCTAGGAGAGTGACTCGTTGTGCCTTCTCGGGCTAACGTTCTTGGCTGACTTGAAGTGGCAAGACTATATCGAATCTATTGCTAGGTCTGCAGCCAACTGACATATTTATAAGTCTACAATACGTCCATGCTTTGAATATTGCTGCCACATCTGGTTCAGTGCTCCTGCTATACATTTAGAGATCGTTGATAAATATCCAAAGGAGAAACAGCAATATTATTGGTTCTGACACCTCAGCTTTCCCATCGCCGTAAAGTTTCTTCTCTGTGCCCTTTTCTATAAGTACTTCACGTTAATTGTTCGGGTGAGCTCTTCGCTATTGTACCTAGACTTTATTAATTGAAGCGTAATACTAGATTGGAAACAAGGTCTCATTAATTTACAGTTGAATTGGCTAGATGTAACAAATATTTTATGTATTTCTAAAACAGAATCATAATATAGACCTCTATTCCGATGTCATTCTTTGTTGCAATGAATCAGTTGTTGACAAAATACCCATCAAAAGAAGTGTGCAATCTTTAAAGGCAAATGTTAGGCTCTTCTCGAGAATTTTTCACTGCAGTCAAGTTTTCTGGTAGTAAATCCCTATTTTCAATTAGAAAGAAGATGAAAGAAGATTAAAACAATTTAATCTTCATCTTCACTATAAATAACATTAATAAAATTCTTTAATTGAGATGAAAATCATTCGGGGCTGGTTGGAGTCTAGCCAAATTACAAACGTACGTTTGGGTTTAATGTGCGACTCCACCGTGAAAAATAATCCCTCTGTATTTATTATGTCTCCAATATGGATATTTTCTGTACTGACCTATCATTAATGAATATAATGCGTATTTTTAAGAGAAAAAATGCGCTGTATACGGAAAGAAATAAACTATACGTTGCGAGATTTTTTCGGAGGGCATATCATGCGCGTATCACATGATCTCTAAAGACAATTTCCCTGGATGTTTTTCATTTTGTGTTCCCACATTTCTTCCCTTGTTTCAGTTTTCGATCAAAGGAAGCGGGAAAAGATTGGTGTCGCTTTTCAGTCTCTCTTTTGATCGTCAGAATTTCTACAGTTTCTATTCATCTGACTTGTCTCGTGGGGATTGCAGAAATATGAACTTCACTTCCAGCCCTTGCCATCACCCTACTCTAGTGGTTGCATGTTCGTCATGCAAGTACTTCTGAAGCAACGCTGAAAACATTTCATTTCTCCTTTGACCTTTCCTCTTCACGGTCTCTTCCTTTCAACGTCGGAGGTTTCGCCATATTCTTTTGCTTATAATCCTTGTTTTTCCTTTTTTTTTTCTTCTCGCTTCTTTTCTTTCTTCTTTTTCTTTATTCTCCCTTTGTTTGTTTTTACGCCTTTAATGATAATTGTTTTACCTCTACCAGTCGTTTAATCTTCATTACTCCCCTACTCCTTCTTGTTTCTTCTTTTTCCTTCTTCTTTACTTCCCCCCTTTCTCTTTAACTGACCCTTTAATTTTCCCTTTTTGTTATTTCTACTTTTTTTTTTTATCTTTCTTTTTTGTTTTTGTATTTCTAAGACTTTTTCCATCATCCATTGATCTTCCCTCCTCTTTCTTAAATTCTCCTTCCTTTACCACCTCTTGTTTACTTTTACCTCTCTTTTACGTTTTCTTTACTTCTCCTACTACTCTTTCATTCAACCTTTCACCTTCCCACTTCTTTATACTATCTTTCTTACTTCGACTTCATCTTTTCCTCCTTTTATTCCTTTACTTCTCCTACTACTCTTTTACAGATCTTTTTTACCTTTCCTCTTCTTCCTTAAGTTGACTTCTCTTTTACTTTCCCTCTTTTATTTCTCTACTTCTTCCATTACTCTTTTACACATCCTTAAAACTAGACCCTTATTTTTCGCATCGCTTCCTTCTTTACTTTGATTTTTCCTCCTCCTTCCTTTACTACGACTTTTTTTTACTTCTCCTACCACTCTTTTATACATCCTTTTATTACCTTTTTAAGTTTTACGGCCACATCACGCTGAAACATTGTTTATCGTACGATTCACCGAAGTTAAACAATGTCGAGCCTGGTCAGTACCTACATGAATGACCACTTGTGAGTATCAGAGGCTGTATCATTCTATACGCTGGTAGTTTAATAGATAACGGATCAGAATTGGAAAGATCTTCAAATTTTAATTCCAATTGGATTCGTTATACTCTCTCGCGCGCAAGTATCTTTGAGAAAAGTGTGAATTCACCTCATTCTCACAGTAATGATTTGACTTCTTTTTTTTTTAAATCAGTTCGCCCCAGCAAGGGGACAAGAGGACAAAGCCACTAAGGTGCTACTGAGAGGGAAAGAGAATATAAAGATTTTAGAAGAAACCGGAAACATAACAGGAATGAAACGATAAACTTGACTTCTGTTAAAAAGACAGGAGAGGAGTGTGAACCGGGCGATAAACGAACTTATTGATATGAATAAAAGAATAATTAGTAAATAAAATTTCAGAGTTTAGACAAATAGAAATTTCAGAAGGAACCGGAAACCCTGGGCAAAATAGATAACAAGGAATAAAATTAGTAGTATTTGTAACAGTAAGTCATTATTATCTCCAAATCTAAAATTATTTTCTGGTTTTAAATCAATCTGAAAATATTTTCTGGTTGATAAACCGTAAAAAATGATCAATCAATCAACTGTATTACTTTTTTCTCCGATTTCACTCCTCCTCTCTTTCTAATCTTCTTTGAACTCTTTACTTCACCTTCTACTCTCTAACTCATCTCTTAAGCTTCTCGCTTCTTTTTACTTCTCATTTCGTACTCTGCCTTCTCCTCCTTTACTTTTCTTCTTTACTTCTACCGCTACTCTTTTACACATTCTTTAATCTTTATCCCTCCTTCTTCTTTACTGATCTTTTTTTCATTTCCTTCTCCGACACCTCTTTTACTTCCTCCTTCTTTTTTACTTCACATCATTTACCCAGCTTTCTCCTTCGCTCCTCCCCATCTTCTTTCAGTTCTTTAATTGCTACTACTACTACTACTCCTTTACATATCCTCTGATCTCCCTATTTCTCCTTTACTCCGCCTCTTTACTTACTCCATCAACTCAAGAATTCCCTTTTCCCTTCCATTTTACTCCTCCTCCTCTTTCATTCATTCATCTATTCATTTAATTTGAATTTAACTTTCTATATTCATCTTTAAGGCTACGGTGAAACACTGCTTCTCGTACGGTCACCGAAGTTAAGCAACGTCGGGCCTGGTCAGTAGCTTGATGGGTGGCAGCTTAGAAATACCAAGTGCTATAATCCTGGATGTACGGGTGGTGTGATAGATAACAGCTCGGATTTAGAAATCGTGGAGACAAATTGCAATTTCAGTCTGGTTCGTTATATTCACTTACAGGTAAATGATCTTGTGAAAGGTTTGAATCTACCGCTTCTCCCCCAGCTATGGGTTAATTAGTAGGACTTGCATCGGTAAATGATTATTATCTTCCAAAAGATTTCAGCGTAAAAATACTCTCTGGCTTTAAATGGCCTACAAAAGGTTGATAAACCGTAAAAAAGAAATCAATCACTATTTCTTCAAATTTCTTTCTTCGTTACTTATCTTCTACTAGCAGTAGAGCCCGGCGTTGCCCGGGGATGAAACAGTAAGAGATAGATCAAGTATCGACCATCATAAAGACTGAAAAATAAAATTTACAAAGATTATTGTTTAAGGTTGACGTACACGCATGCCTTAATTGGTTTTGTTTTTTGTTTTTTTGGGGTTTTTTTACGAATTGGTCAAACCCAAACTCAAACAAAAACATTGTTTTCAATCGTTAGGAGTCTATAGATTGAATAGAATTTTATTATAAACAATTGTCTTGTAAATGGAATTTTTAAAGCATTCTGAATGTAAAAATAAAGAAAAAAGTGTACAAGACAATAAGAAACATTACCTGCCAAAAAAAAAGAAGTGAAGTTTTGTTGAAATCGGTTGAAAAATGTAGGAAATCCGATCCCATATATAAACGAACACACACACACACACACAACCTGGGTTTATAATAAGTATACCTCAAGATGAGTTGTCCCCCTTTCATTCTGGCGACAGAATCGTGTTTTATCGTGTTTTCAAATTGATTTCATGCAAAAACAATTGTGTTTTTTCAATTTTTGGTGCTGTCAGAACAACCGCAAGGTAATTTTACGTTGTCCTGTGAAGTTTTGTTGAAATCGGTTGAAAAATGTAGGAAATCCGAACCAATATATAAACGTACAGACACACACACACACACACACACACACACACAATCTGCGTTTTATAATAAGTAAGATTATCATTTCTCGTTCTCTCACACTATTTCCTTTACCTCTCCTACTATACGTTTACTCCTTTTACTTATTTTTCTCTCTTTCTTTCTCTTTACTCGCTCATCTCCTTACTCTTTAGGTTTGGTTCTTTGGAGCCATTCAAAAGGCTACATTAATGACGTACACATTATTATTATTATTATTATTATTATTATTTATTTATTTATGTTTTATTTCCTTTGATTTCTAGTGTTTACATATTTCTTTTCTGGTCCCGCACAGTGAACTAAGGTAAGAAATGGCATTACATTTTCCACTGACCAATAAAAAAAAAAAAAAAAAAAACATTTTACATAGATAAAGTTCTTCATTAGGTATGGGCTGTACCAATGAGAACAGTTTTTTTTGTATTTCTTTAAGGCATGGGCTTCCAGGAATCCCTTCAATGAGTCTACTGGAATCTTTTCCAACCAATCAAAGGGCTCCAAATACAACAGGGATTATGGATATTCTTATATGCCACATTTTTGAGATTTCGATTTATTATTATTATTATTATTATTATTATTATTATTATTATTATTATTATTATTATTTTGTGTATCATATGTTACCTGCTTTGAAACCTTTAGAGCCAGGTCCAAACTATCATCCTTAGGACCTATATGAGAATTGTCATTTCTTTGATAGCACTTTTCTTAGTATATGGGATGATCTTCTGGGCAACTAGTATGTTGATGTTCCCTGTGACTCTGTTAGTAAAACTGTTCATACCTTTTCTCACGTAACCAAAAGTTCCGATTGCTATTAGTACACTCTTAGTCTTCATTCCTTTGCCTCTCCTACGATACTTTTACTCCTTTTTTATTTTTCCGTTTTCTTTCTCCTTACCCGCCCACCTCCTTACTCTTTAGGCTTCGTTCTTCTCTTTTTCCTCTTCCTAACCTAATGCTTCTCCTTCCTATTTTGCAACATCTTTTTATTTCGTTTTGCTGAATGTTGTAGTTAACTTCATCTTCCGCAGACAGCTCTGAAATTTTTTCCCATTCCTGATAACATTTATTCCTTTTATTTTTTTTTTTTTAATTCTTTATATTTTTAACACAATGACAGCTCCCATGACAGTTGACAGTTTTTATTATGATGCTGACTACGAGTTATCTCGTGTTTCGCATTGTCTGATGTATTTTCATTTGCGGGCGCCAACAATGATTTTTATTCGTAGTGATATTTTAGTGTGAAAAAATGTTTACAATTCAACTGAACTCATAACATTTTTTATTGTTTAAAAGTTGGCGGACTAATAGAGTTGGCGTTTGAAGTATGATTTTGTAATTGACCTCTGGCAGTCAACGGGTTAAGGTTCAGATTAATATCACGATTCTGTTTTGATTCTCATTAAAAATTAGTTTCATTAGCGTTACTCTTATTTTAGCAATTTTCACACCACTGCATTTCGCTGGGGACCAAGTTCTGCAAATCTTCCTCTCTCGATCTAGTAATCTTGCTATTTCAAGAGGAATTTGACCTGAATAAATTTAATTCTGAATGGGTTTCCATTTCTTCAGTTGTTTGCAAATATTTCTGGAGCTGTTCAAAAGGCTAAAATAATGACGTATACATTATTATTATTATTATTATTATTATTATTATTATTATTATTATTATTATTATTATTATTTCCCTTGATTTCTATTGTATATATATTACCTTCCGGGTCCTAAACTGATACCTAAGGTCATAAATGGCTTCCTGACAGCTTGTAATGATCATTTATTAAAAAAGAAACTAAGATCACAAACAAGTTACTTACATGATTATTATTATTATTATTATTATTATTATTATTATTATTATTATTATTATTGTATTTTATGTATCCTGCTTTGTATCCTGTAGAACCAGCTCCAAACTATGGCCCTTAGGCTCTATAGGAGAATTGTCATTTCATTGATAGCACTTTTCTTAGTATGTGGGTTGTTCCTAGTAGGACGGTTTTCTGGGTAACTTGTACGTTAATGTTACCTGGGAAACTGTTAGTAAAATTATCCATTTCTTTACTTACATTTCCCAGTGCTCCGTTTACTATTGGTACAGTCTTAGTCCTCATTCCCCACACCCTGTTAATCACGTTTTTGTGTTTATTGTGTTGTATTTGAACAATTTCTTCTTCTTCTAGAATAATAATAATAATAATAATAATAATAAGAAGAAGAAGAAGACTTCTTCTTCTTCTTCTTCTTCTTATTATTATTATTATTATTATTATTATTATTATTATTTTCTTTGATTTCTGGCGTTTACACATTTCTTTCCGGGTCCCGCCCATAGACCTAAGGTTAGAAATGGCATCATGACACTTTCCACTGACAAAAAAAAAAAAAAAAAAATTACAAAGATAAAGCCCTTCGTAAAGTGTGGGCTGTACTTGTCTGAACAATTTTTTGTATCCTTTCGATTAGTCTACTGCAATCTCCTTAGATATTTTCCGATTTCTTTTTGAATTTTTTTACGATTCCAATGTAATAAATTTCCATGGGGTTTTAAATTATAACTTTTATTTATATTATATATATATATATATATATATATATATATATATATATATATATATATATATATATATATATATTCGTTGTTATATAATCCAAGTGAATCCTATTAATACAATATAAAATATTAAATATTAATATATATTCACAGATAGAGCTCAATGTTTTAATTAAACAGAGCAACAAATTTCACACAATAGGAGTTAAGATCATCACCTATATGTAATCTTAATTCCTATTGTATGATATATATATATATATATATATATATATATATATATCATTGTCAATTGTAACGACACAAAGAATAATGATCTTCTCTTAAATTATTATTGTTATAATTATTTCCTTTGCTTTCTCATGTATAAACATTTCCTTTCTTCAATGAATCTATGAAAACATTCAACCACAACTGATGTCTTTCCGATCACATTTCTGAAATTTCTACGCCAAGATTCTTGTATTTTCATAGATTTTTTAAAAATCTTCAGAAGTACTTGTCTGCAGGAACAGCCATCTGAATAAGAAAATTATTATTATTATTATTATTATTATTATTATTATTATTTCCTTGGATTTCTGTTTTATACATATCGCATTCCGGGTCCCAACCAGAGATCTAAGGTCAGAAATGATTTCATGACATTTTGCACTGATCATTTATAACAAAAGAAATATTGTTATTTTTATTATTATATATGCCGTGTAGTTTTAGGGCGTGGGGGGGTCATCGCTCTGCACAACATCCTACCTTTTGTAGGTCTTAGGAGCATTTGTGTTTTTCACATTCCTACCACCCCAATCCTTCATTTTACCCATTAACGCAAGCTCGTCAAGTAGGTGGCTCCCTTCTACTTCTCGCCTATACGTTCATGTGAGCATCAAATTCTCGAAGCTCTCTTTTCTCATTATATGTCCCAAACATTTCAACTGTTTCTAGCTGATCCAGAATAAAAAATCTCCTTTTTTCTTTCCATTTGCATTAAAAATTCCTTGTTACTCAAATAATCTGGCATTCAATTCTCAGCATCCTTCTGTAAAACCAAATCCCTGTTACATTTCCAGCATTCACTGCCATATAAGATGAATGATATAACATAACTTTTTAACACCATTTTCTTTGTTCCTGACGAAATTTTCCAGTTTCTTAATTCTTTGCTTAGCTTTTGGAAGGCATCTTTTGCTATTGCAATTCGCGTTTAGATTTCGGCTTCACATTTTCTGTCCTCCGGGAAAACACTTCCAAGAAATTTAAATATCTTTACTTATGGCGTCCTCGTCAGAAATAGCGGTATTATTTGCATTTGGATGGGAAATTCTCTTTGAAATATCTTACGCTTTGGTGTCTATAAAAATGTTGATTATCGACCCACTGCTTAGAACCAGTGGCGTATCTGTGAGCTGTTCCACATTTGTTCTTCTTACAGGTGTCATTTCCATTAAGAATATTGG